ATATACTTTAAGTTCTAGGGTACATGTTCACAACGTGCAGGTTCGTTACATAGGTATGCATGTGCCATGTTGGTTTGCTGCACCCATCAACTCGTCATTTACATTAGGTATTTCTCCCAATGCTATCCCTCCCCCAGTCTGCCACCCCCTGACAGGCCCCAGTGTGTGATGGTCCCCTCCCTGCATCCATATGTTCTCATTGTTAAACTCCCACTTACGAGTGAGAACATGTAGTGTTTGGTTTTCTATCCTTGTGATACTTTGCTGAGAATGATGGTCTTCAGCCCAATTTTTGTATTTTTAGTAAAGACAGTGTTTCACCATATTGGCCAGGCTGGTCTCAAACTCCTGACCTCGTGATCCGCCTGCCTTGGCCTCCCAAAGTGCTGGGATTACAGGCGTGAGCCACTGCACCCGGCCTTTGATAGCAACTTTTATTGAAGTGGCAATGCACAACAGCAGCAGAGGTACTGCTCCTTGTGGAGCAGTATGCCCAGGGTAGCAGCTCAGAGGCAGCCCTTCAGTCATATTTCTACCCACTTTTAATTATATGCAAAGTAAGTGGTGGATTATGCAGAAATTTCTAGGAAAAGGTGGTAACTTTCAGGTCATCAGCTTGTCATGGAAAGCAGCAATAACTCCCAGGTGTTACCGTGGAAATGGTAAACATGACATGGCATACTAGTAGGTATGTCTTATGAAAAGCTGCTTCTGCCCTGTTGCTGTTTTAGCTAGTCCTCTATTTGGTCTAGTGTTGGAGCCTGGCCCCTTGAGTCAAGTCCCACCCCCTGCCTTGATAGTGGCTTTTGTATCGAGTTTTTTCATAGAACACAATTTCAAATTTCTATGCTTGGTGTTTTCCAAACAGCCTGAAGCAAAAAGCAATCTTTAATATGAATATATATATCGATCCTCACTCACAACTTTAAAGTCAGTAACTGAGATGCAGGGACTTGTCATGAGTCTTGACTACTCAAGCTAAGTGGCCTATTTTTCCCCCCTTTCTCAAGGCATGTTCTCTGCTGTAGGGACACCTGAAATTCCCCTAAGATGGCCATGCTCAGTGGGCTGCCTCTTGACAGTTTCCTAGTAGTCAGTCAATAAAGGGTGCAGTCACCTCTCCCCAGCTCACTGAGGTAGACATAGTTGGTACTGTGCTGACCTTGGTTCCATTTGAGCCTCTGAATATCTGTGTGGCTTGTGCAGTGTTGTTGGTGCTCTAATCTCACAGTGCAGGGGTTGAGGTGTCAGGAGAGGGAACACATCAGTGCCATTTCACTGTCTCCTGTGTCAAAGCAAAATTAAAATGCAGACCAGACTTGAAAAACTCCTGAGAAAACAAAACCTGGTAGACCTTAAAAACAGCCTTAACCTTGCTTAACCTGTAAACATAAGCAACAATTCACTTGAGTCATTTCTGGTAAATGCTTGTGTTAGGGAAAGACAAAACTCAATCTCAACCGATCAAAAGCGGCCAATTCACATACTATTATGTCATTAGGGACTTTTCAAGGCAAATTAAAAAATCCATTTTTATAATTGTAACTGATCAAATAATTTCTTTGTTTTACTTCTTCATTCACCCTATGAATACTTGCGTCTAATGCTTTAAGCATAGGACCGCGAGACTTCTTCTGGTGTGATGCTTCCCAATTCATGAACTGCTGTTTGTTCAGTAAACTCTAGAAAATGTTTACTGCGCTTCAGATTTTTGTTTTCAGGAGAGCCATCCCGGTTAATGATACAAGAACAACTGTTTCCCTTCTGTACGTCAGATCTACCAAGATGGCCGCGCCCAGAGAGCCGTGGCACAGGGTGCGGACATGTTACGTCCCTGAAGAGAAGCCTAAATCCGATCGTCCTAGCGCAGCAGAATCGACTCTCGCCCTCGTCGGCCGCCGTAGGCCGGTGCCAATGCCGGGGTTTAAGGGCCAGAAAAGGAAGCAATCACGGAATTTAGGTGTAGCCAGGAGAAAATCAGGTGAGCGTTTGGGTCTCTCCGTGGAGTAGGTTAAAGTGGCAGGGAGCTTCTGAGGAGCCTGTGGGGAGAGCTGGCGGCCTGGGCGGTGGAGCCTTTGGGTTGGGGTGCCTTTGCGGTCCGGCATGGGAGAGTTCTGGTTGTTGGGCGTTAACGGTCTGTCGAGTTCAGCCACTGAGATTCGGCGTCAGAGTTTGGGGTCCCTCAGGGTCACTCTGTTAGTAGGGCTGTCGATCACTGGATCGAGAACTGTAGGGGGACGCTGCCCAGCACACCGGCTTCATCACCGACCCCATTATTATCACTTCAAACGCCGCAGTTTAAAGTCGGTGATGAAGCCGGGGTGCTGGGCAGCCTACGAGGGTGTCTGGTGTAGGTTTTAGGGTGAATCAGGGATGTGTGTTAAGTGTTTAGGGAAGGCCCAGGCATATGGGGCTCAGAGTCTTGTAAAATCTGATATTTTACAAGCCCAGGCCCCTGGCTGGTGGTTGAGTTGTGAAACTATAACCGCCCACCCTTGCCGGCTGCCTAGACAGAACCGATTTGTCAAGATAGGGAAATTGCAATGGAGAAAGAGCAATTCATGCAGAGCCGGCTGTGCGGGGAGACCGAAGTTTCATTATTACTCAAATCAGTGATGAAAGAACATTTTCAGCCGAATTAAATTTAAAGGAGTTTAAATGAGCAATGAACGATTCGCGAATTGGGCAGCCCCCAGAATCACAGCAGATTAACAGAGACTCCAGGGGTGCCTCGTGGTCAGAACAAATTTATAGACAAAAAAGTGACATACAGGAATCGGAAGGGAGGTCCAGAAACAGTGAGATTGGTTACCACTGGTCGTTTGCCTTAGTTGAACGCCGTTGGAACATTCAGCATTCTATCACTATGGCCGCTGGGATTGGCAACTCTCAGCTATTGTTACAGGTGCATACGATTAAGTTCGGTTTTCAATTTTGTCTGCAGTTTATCCACAAGGACTCAAATATAGAAGTATGGAGCCCTTCTCAGGCAATATTTAGTTTGCTTAAGCATCAGTCTCCTTGAGTATTTGAGAATCAAAGTTTCCCCCCATCCCCCAGACGGAATCTAGCTCTGTTGTCCAGGCTGGAGTGCAGTGATGAGATCTCAGCTCACTGCAACCTCCGCCTCCTGGCTTCGAGCGATTCTTCTGCCTCAGCCTCCCGAGCGGCTGGGATTACAGGCCCGCACCATCATGCCCGGCTAATTTTTGTATTTTTAGTAGAGACAGGATTTCACCATTTTGGCCAGGCTGGTCTTGAACTCCTGACCTCAGGTGATCCGCCCGCCTCAGCCTCCCAAAGTGTTGGGATTACAGGCGTGAGCCACCGCACCCAGCTATGATTGTTATGATTTATAAGAAATGTGTGCTTGATCTTTGTCCTGTTTCCTGGCACATGTCTCCTAAAACCCTTGGAACCTCTTCAGGGATAAGTGTCTTCGTGTGGCATTGAGATGGCAGGTGACTGGGTGCTTCTGGCTGACCTTAGGATGGGGGAGGCTGGTTGCCAGGGCAACTAACTGTGTGATTTGAGGGTTGGAAATTTTAGCTCTGCCTGGCAACAGGGAGGTTGAAGGTTGAGTTGATCACCAGTGGTTAGTGTTTTAATCAAGTATGCCCATATAATGAAACTGGCATAAAAACTCAAAAGGATTGGTGAACTTCTGGGGAACTTACAGATTCTTGAGCAGGTGGAGGTGCCTGAGGGGTGGTGCACTGAATCTCTAATAAGCTGCCTTGGAGGGCATGGAAGTCCAACGCCCCTTGCTACAAACTTTGCCCTGCGCTATCCCTTCCATCTGGCTCTTCATCTGTATCCTTTGTAATATCCTTTATTCCTTTTCCCATTTGCCCTGAGAATATTCACCCTCCATGCTTGCAGCTGGAGCATTTACCCCGAGATAACTTTGTCATGAATGGTCTCGCTTTTATTATTTTCACATTGTTCTAGTAGATGGACTTTGGAAATAAAAGACATCATTCTATTTGTAGCATTCTGTTTTTAGTAGTGGTATTTCCATTTACAAAATGTGGTAGTTCTTGATCACTGAAAATGTCAAATCCTAAAAAACATAGCATTCCTACACGTGATGTTAACATCATTCTCAAGCAGTTCTTGGCTGAAGACTCGCTAGATGGAGCCGATTTTTCCAAATAGACAATTCTGATGATTCAGATGATTCTGATGTTAGTTCTGATTAGAAATAACTCCTAGAACAGCGTTTATATTTTATTTCCACATTGAAAATCAGATTTACTGCAGCCTCAAAGAGCATATTTATGACAAATTAAATAAGCGCTGGCAGCAAGCTGCACTTCGTTTTTCTAGACAGGAAAAGGGTTAAAATAAACCAGTAAATGTTAAGTGTTTTCCTGAGTTCTGTGAGCAATCCAGCAAATTAATCAAACCTGAGGAGGAGGCCGTGTGAATCCTGATTTATAGCTGGTCTATCAGAGATACAGGTGACAACCTGCTGCTTGCAACTTGCATCTGAAGTTGGGGGCAGGCTTGAACTGAGCACTTAATCTGTAGTATCTGACACTATGTCCAGATACACAGTCTCAGAATTGAATTAAATTGTAGGATGCTGTCTTAGTCTTGTTGGTGCTGCTATAACAAGATAACTGAGACTGGATAATTTATAAACAACAGAAATTTATTTGTTATAGTTCTGGAGACAGGGAAATCTAAGATCAAAGCACCAGCAGGTTTGGTGTCTGGCGAGGGCCCGATTTCTGCTTTCAATATAGTGTTTTGTCGCTATTTCTCTGGAGGTGAATAATGCTGTGCCCTCATGTGGCAGAAGGCGGAAGAGCAAAAAGGGCCGATCTGTGTGTGAAGCCTCTTTTATTTTTATTATTACTATTATTTTCTTCTTTCTTTAGGGTTTTTTCTTTTTTTTTTTTTTGATACAGAATCTCACTTTGTCACCCAGCCTGGAGTGCAGTGGCACCATCATAGCTCACTGCAGTCTCAACCTCTCAACCTCCCAGGCTCAAGCAATCCTGCCTTGGCCACCTGCGTAGCTGGGAATACAGGCATATGCCACCACGCTTGGATAATTTTTGTATTTTTTGTAGAGATGGGGTTTCACCATGTTGTCAAGTCCTGAGCTCAAGTGATCTGCCCACTTTTGCCTCCCAGAGTACTGGAATTACAGGTGTGAGCCACCACACCTGGCCTTTTTTTTTTCTTTTTTTTTTTTTTTGAAGAGACAGGGTCTTGCTGTGTTGCCCAGGCTAGAGTGCAGTGGTGCAATCACAACTCACTGCAGCCTCAAACTCCTGGCCTCAAGCGATCCTCCCACCTCAGCCTTCCAAAGTGCCGGGATTACGTGCATGAGCCACTGCGCCTGGCCAAAGCCTCTTGTGTAAGGGCCTTAATGCCACTCACAAGGGAGGAGCTCTCATGACTTAATCACTTCCTAAAAGCCCATCTCTTGATACCACTGCATTGGAGAGTAAGTTTCAACATGAATTTTGGAGGGCACAAACATTCAAACCATAGCATCTGGCGTTTGGGAGCTTAGATTTTTGGAGGCCGTCTCACCGTTTCCTAATAAGAGTGGCTCACTGTGCCTAAGTTGTTTTTTCAAACAATGTGGTTTATCCTGAACACCTGCTTTCCTCTAGGATTCTGGAGTTTTGGTGTATGTTAGCCAGTAAGCACCTTCATGATCAGCCCCCAATAAAAACCATGGGCACACAATCTCTCTCTAGTAAACTTCCTTGGTCTATAGTGTTTCACGTGTGTTGTCACAACTTGTGGCTGGAGGAATCAAGTGTATCCTGTGTGACTCCGAAGAGACTGAACTTGAAACTTGTGTCAGGCTTCCTCCAGACTTTGCCACATGTACCCTTTGCTGGTTTTGCTCTGTATGTTTTCACAGTAATCAGTGGTTGCCATGAATATGATTACAAACTGAGTGTTGTGAGTTCACCTAGTGAATCACTGCATCTGAGAGTGGTCTTGAGGGACCCCTGGCACAGCTGTCTGCATTCATTCACCTGTCTCCCGTTTTCCAACAGACTCTCAGGTGTCCTTGACTTGTGGCAGCATCACTATCCAGTCTCTGCCTCCATCTTCACATGGCCTTGTCTTTTCCCTGTGTGTTTCTTCTCTGTGTGTCTCAAGATTGTTGGGAAAAAGGCTTGTAGGGTGCCGGTATAAACTGGTCATAAAAGTATGGGACAATAAATTGTGGAAAGCCTCAGGAGGCCTCTCAGGAGGAAAGCCGCCTTATTGCCATCACGTTGACCTGCTCTTTTGTCTATAAACACTGTGCTTAAGGAGAAAGACACTCCTTTGAAGCACTGGAATGTGGTCAGATATGCCGGCTGCTAGTTAAGCCCACTCCCATATGACTCTCCACATTCAGAGTGTTGTTTTATTGCCCTGGGATGTAAAGACGTGGAGACACCTGACAAAGGGATGCTTAGATGTATTGCTTGGCCTTGACTTCAGGAGAGTTTAAGCAGCAGAGACAGCATCTGGGCCCGGAGGGAATGTGTCACCAAATGAACTTGATTTTTACTCCACAGATCCTGGCTCCCCAGAAGCAAGAGACTTCAAGTGAAGGAAGGAGGAGGTTCCTGCATGTGGATGTCATCATTTCTGGGAACACTCTTAAATGGAAACTCAGATTTCTTAGCCAAAATTTAGGGAGGATCCAGAAGAAACCAAAGATGAAGCATCCCAATTCTTGGGTATTTCCTGAAACAGAAGAAAATGACAGAGGCCCAGGTGACTTTTGGTTTGTTTTATTCTTAACTCGATTCCCTGATGGATTTGTGGAAGTCTGAAGAAATCAGTTCCTTTACATTAAAAGTATAAATTGGAAAAAATGAGCTCTGGGGAGAAACAGACTTAGACTGTACCTTTCAACCAGGACAAAGCGGGATCATGAATACATTGTTCACATAGCCCACATGTGACCAGTGTTGGAATATAATGTATGACTCTGCTGGAGCCTGTTGGTTACATTAAGTGTCAACTTGTGTCCAAAATCTTTGGCCACCATCACACCCAGAGAATCATGGTGAGTTACATGATGTGCACTGATTCTGAGGCGAATGCGGGTCCCTTCCTCAGGGGATGTCAGTATTTCATGGCACTTAAATCTTGGAAAATTCGTTTGATGCTTTTTGCTAGAGGTGACAAGATAGACTTTTTGTCCTTAATAGCTTTCTTCCAAAAGATACACAAGCAAGTTTCGTGTGGCTGTTTCTACATGATTATTCTGAGTCCTCTCTGGGACTATACCAAGCAGAATTTAATGAACACAGTATTTCAGGAGCCCTCAGCACCGCGGCCTATATACCCAACCTTGTTGCAGTCTGTTTAGTCTGTGAATAAACCTAGTTGCCTAAACAATGCAAGGTTTGCTTTCAAAGGTGCTCCTTGAACAGGTCACTAAACTGGCGTTTAAGTACAGATTTGACCATAGGGAGTTGAAAGTTCCCTTTGGCAATGGCTTGGGTTGTTGAGATCCACAGGGTTTGCTTTAGAATGTCATGCTGTCTCAGAAAATACAGAGCCCTTCCCTGTTTTCTTTTTTTTTTTTGAGACGGAGTCTGGCTCTGTTGCCCAGGCTGGAGTGCAGTGGCCGGATCTCAGCTCACTGCAAGCCCCGCCTCCCGGGTTCACGCCATTCTCCTGCCTCAGCCTCCCGAGTAGCTGGGAGTACAGGCGCCCGCCACCTCACCCAGCTAATTTTTTTTTTGTATTTTAGTAGAGACGGGGTTTCACCGTGTTAGCCAGGATGGTCTCGATCTCCTGAACTCGTGATCCGCCCGTCTCGGCCTCCCAAAGTGCTGGGATTACAGGCTTGAGCCACCGCGCCGGCCCTTCCCTGTTTTCAAATCCAGTTGTTAACCTCTCACCTCTTTTAATGCCTTAACTTGAAAAAATTATGCAAATGACTCATTATAGTTTTAAATGTGTATATATTTGGTTTCTATCTCTGGTTCCTGGCACAGAGCTCCTAAAACCTTTAGAATTTCCTGAGTGATAGGAGTGTATTTTGTTCTTCATAACCAGCCTCTTTCAACCATACCTGAGTTTATGGTAATGAGGTGACTCAGGGTGGGATCCTTTTATAGTAATGAGGTGACCTCAGGATGGGGCTGGTTGCCAGAAAGACCAAGCCTTGATTACAGATTTGGAACTTTCAGTCCCACCCCTGACCTCCAGATTCTGTCACCAATGGTTGATTATTTCTTTTTTCTTCTTCTTTTTTCTGAGACAGAGTCTCGCTCTGTCGCCAGGCTGGAGTGCAGTGGCACAATCTCGGCTCACTGCATCCTCCACCTCCTGGGTTCAAGCAGTTCTCCTGCCTCAGCCTCCTGAGTAGCTGGGACTATAGGTGCGCACCACCACAGCCAGCTACCCTTTTTTTTTTTTTTTTTTTTTTTCAGTAGAGACAGGGTTTCACTATGTTGGCCAGGATGGTCTCGATCTCTTGACCTCATGATCCGCCTGCCTCGGCCTCCCCAAGTGTTGGGATTACAGGTGTGAGCCACCATGCCCAGCCATGGTTGATGATTTAATCATGCCCACATCGTAGAATCTCCATGAAAACCCCCATGGGGTTTGGAGATCACATGTGGAAGTGGGGGATGGGGGAAGGGTGCGCTGCAATTCCACAGGAACAGAGGCTTCTGTGCTTGGCACCCTTTGGACCTTGACTTCTGTACCTCTTCACCTGGCTGTCATTTGTATCCTAGATAATAAACTGTAATTGTGTGACATTTTCCTGAGTTCTGTGAGTCATTCTAGCAAATTATCAAACCGGAGCAGAAAGGTTGTGGCAGCCCCCCATTGTGGTCAAGTTGGACAGAAGTGCGATAATGTGGGGACCCCAGAGCGGCACATGATGTGAGGGCAGTCCTGTGGGACCGAGCCCTTAAACTTGCAGAGTCTGATGATAACCCTCAGTGGTTAGTGTTAGCAGAGGATCGAACTCGAGGATACCCAGTTGGCATCAGAGAATCAAAGGGTTGGAGAAGTGTTGCTGGAAAAGACACTGTGTATTTGGTATCAGAAAGAACCACAGATTCATGGATAGTTTTTTTTGTTTGTTTGTTTCAGATACAGTCTTACTTTGGTGCCCAGGCTGGAGTGCAGTGGCGTGATCTCCGCTCACTGCAACCTCTGCCTCCTGGGTTCAAGCGATTCTCGTGCTTCACCTGGGTGCCACCATGCCCAACTAATTTTAGTATTTTTAGTTGAGACCAGGTTTCGCCATGTTGGCTAGGCTGGTCTCAGATTCCTGACCTCAGGTGATCCACCCGCCTTCACCTCCCAAAGTGCTGGGTTTACAGGCATGAGACACCATGCCTGACCTCATGGATAGATTTTTCAATGTGAAAGACTCAAGTTAAATAGTACACATAGTGAGAAAACAAAGTTCCCCCTCTGTATACTTTTTTTCCTAATTCCCTAGTATGTCATTAACAAATGCTTGTCTTCCTGTTCTAGGGATGTACCTGTGAGGACATCTATGTCTGCATGTGTGTGTGTGTGTGTGTGTGTGTACGTACACATGCATTTGTATACATATACATGTATCTATGCATGTCAATGCTTACATGTGTGATGGCTTATTTTTTACAGCCACTGCATAGTTTATTTGTTGTTTTGCTAAACATCATGGTATAGTTCACATGAAGGGAATCATGCTAGATTATTCTGCTCATGCTGTATGACTATAGCATATAGTTCAGGGTTGCAAGTAGGTGCTGAAAAACACTGCAAATGTTCTTATGTTAGCAAGAGGATTTAATGGCTGCATATTACAGAAACTTACGATTTGTTGGATTAATGGATGGCTGCATGGTTATTATAAAATATAGAATATTTTACTATAACTTTGCTTCTGTCACAGTATATTGAAAGAACTAGGAATACAGTTTATTTGTGAACATGCTGAGTTTGTACTGCAAGGGTCCCCTTATATCCAAGCTTGAATCAAAAATATAATATTCTCAGGATGTGCAACTCACTTATACAGAGTGCCATAAGATTCCACCAGGCCAACTGTGGGTCATGAGTATGCACAGTTTCAGTATATGCGGGGCATCCTGAAACCATTCCATTGGGTATACCAAGGGACAACTGTACAGGTGCAACTTATATGGTGAAAATGGGCAGAACAACTTCATATTTCTTCCATGCCAATAAAACAGAAACACTTCATATTAAGCAGGACTGTGTTATTACAGGAATCACTGACCCTGAGGGATGTGGCTGTGGACTTCACCTGGGAGGAGTGGCAGCTCCTGGGCCCTGCTCAGAAGCATCTGTACCGGGATGTGATGTTGGAGAACTACAGCAACCTTGTGTCAGTGGGTGAGGACAGCTGCCCTGTGTCACTCAGAGGGTGCCCAGTCAGTGGCCTTTGCTTCCTTAGCTTCTGGAAGCTTTGGTGTGTCTGCTATGCTCCCAAATGGCAGATCCTCAGGCCCTTCTCTGGTCCCAGAGGAAGAGGCACTATCTTCCTTCATCTTAGAAAAAAACACTTTAATTTGCTAACATGCAAATTATGCAGTCCCTAACATGTACCTTTCTCCTATCATCAGAGCCATGTAGTGCAATTCAGTGAGCCTAAGTCTTCTCCCATTTCCCACAAACAGGGTTTCAAGCTGGCAAACCTGATGCCCTCACCAAGTTGGAACAAGGAGAACCGCTATGGGCATTAGAAGATGAAATCCACAGTCCAACTCATCCAGGTAAGTGAGAGAGAACCAGCAAGAGAGGAAGGCAGTGAAAGTCACATTCTGGTCGTTTAGAGAAGGCATGACAGTTGTGAAAGTGTTTAGGGAGACAGAAACAGCTGCCACATATCCTTCTCCCCATATGATACAAGAGCTCTTTTTCTTATAGGAATTTAGAGAAACATACATACCCCTTTATCCCTTCTTGGAATTGAACTGATCCCTATTCATTTCTTCTTAGATGTTGTTTCCCGTAAGTTCTTCTTGCTTGGATTTTCACATCTTCCCATTCTTCTTCATCACTTGTCAGAGGATCATTTTGTGTTTCTGAGGCAAAAACAACAAACTGGTTTTTTTTTTGTCTCACATAGTCACTCAACCCAGCATTTATGCCACTGGATATATAGGGTTGTTTTCTCACACCTCAGACAATTCTCCAGCAGACATCAGCTGGGTGTCCTCTATTTCAAATTAGCTCTGACACGATCTACCTGATGCGGCATCAGATCCCACAGGTTAAGGGATCAGTCCAAGACTGTCTCCCACTTCAAATGCCAGTGGCAAGTCCCAGGTTGTCACCTCAGCTTCTGATCAACCAGCTGTAAAGTAGAGGTTCCCAAGACCCTCTCCTCAAGTTTGATTAATTTGCTAGAACAGCACTTATATGTATATGCATGTGTGTGTATATATATGTGTATGTGTCTATATATGTGCATATACATTTATATATATACTTTATATATACATTTATATAAGAGAGAGAGAATGCCATAAGCATTGTCTAGAGTTGCTGATTCATCAAATGAGATAACAACTGAGGCACAGGAGGCCAGGCATGGTGGCTGTAATCCCAGCAGTTTGGGAGGCCGAGGCAGGCATATCATGAGGTCAAGAGTTTGAGACCAGCTTGGCCAACATGGTGAAACCCTGTTTCTACTAAAAATACAAAAATTATCCGGGTGTGGTGACATATGCCTGTAGTCCCAGCTATTTGGGAGGCTGAGGCAGGAGAATCACTTGAACCCAGGAGGTGGAGGTTGCAGTGAGCAGAGATCACGCCATTGCACTCCAGCCTGGGTGACAAAGTAAGACTCCATCTCAAAACAAAAAACAGAAAAACAAAAAAACCTGAGGCATAGGTATGTGACTATGGTTTGTTTTTTTGCATTCTGACAGTATGTATTTTTCACCTTGAATTTTCTTTTCATGACATGGTTTATAATACACTACAATATAATAATATCTTCCATCTCTAGGTTCCCATTCTACTTTGCACCCCAATCACACACAAGCCACTCCCATAGATATCATATCAGTGGGATTTGGTGGTGCTTGAGGTTCCTTTGCTACTCTGGAGTCAAGGGCCTGGTTTTCGTTCTTCCTTGTATAAGACTGAAATACATCTTGGTCATTCATGCATTTCTTTATCGAAGGACAGATTAGCCAGGCTGAAGAGAGATCATACTTTTCTATCTATTAAGCATTTCTTAAAGGCAAGATCTTTATTAAAGGAGTTTTCATGACACTGTCCATCCCAAGGCCTCTTGCTCTGCGAGTCTGGTTTCGTTAGAATTGGGTTGGGGGCCTGGGCTTGTCTCTCGGGGGCTGTTTCCATGAGTTGATGAACTGTAGCCATAATACACAGTAGAAGAGACTGAATTTACTGAGAAACAGAAATGTCTCTCTTGAGCAAAGATTTTATCAGCAAAAATAGGGCAAATTTTTATGTAATATTTACAAATTAAACTTTTGAACATATGAAATGTTTTTGTTACAATTCAGGGCTATACAAAGATAAAGTGAATAGTAAATACAGAAAGAATTGTAGGACTTTAGAAGAAATGTAACCTACAGTGGTCTAGACAAGATGGAGAATGACAGACTGATAAAATACCTTATGCAAGAGACATAGCTAGGTATTGAATTAAGATGAAGAACTATGACAAGACAAGAAGTTGTAGAGCTGGAAATGCAAGGCCATGTGGGGACTGTCAGAAGATTAGCCTGAAGGCCAGGTGCGGTGGCTCATTCCTGTAATCCCAGCACTTTGGGAGGCCGAGGTGGGCAGATCACCCGAGGGTCAGGAGTTTGAGACCAGTCTGGCCAACGTGGTGAAACCCTGCCTCTACTTAAAATACAAAAAATTAGCCAGGTGTGGTGGCACACGCCTGTGATCCCAGCTGCTCAGGAGGCTGAGGCAGAATTGCTTGAACCCGGGAGGCAGAGGTTGAAGTGACCTGAGATCGTGCCACTGTACTCCAGCCTGGGTGACACAGCAAGACTTCATCTCAAAAAAAAAAAAAGAGATTAGCCTGAAACTGGTCACATGGAGGCCAGTGTTAGAAGATATTTGCTGGGAAACGGTCAAGTGGGAACTTAAAGTGGATGCGTCTGGTGATGTTAAAACTTTTATTGTTCAGCTCCTGCTGTGAGTTTTCTGTGCCAGTAATTTAGGATAGTGGTGGAGGTAAAGTTGTGTATTTTTCTAGCTCTACGTAGAGGTTACCTTTCACCTGGTGGCAGTATTGTAGCAATAATACTGTGTAGTTGATGTTCTAAGAAAAACTAAAAGTAAAGCTGCCTCAAGTCTTGATTCAGAAGTAGGAAGGTGTTCCTTAAGGGCTTCCTTCACCGATGCCAACAGAGACATAAGTACAAAATTCAGGAAGTAGAGGCTGTTAGTGGCAAGGTGAGGGATTAGTATATTAGGGACAGTAAAGTGGAAAAAAAAATTCTAATATGACATCTATGCAAGTAGGGCATGATAAAGAAGGTGACAGTTTCCACATGTGGTGCAGTGGCAGAGCTGTGCGGAGAGGACTACGTGTTCCGCTTGCATGTTCTGAAAGTCCACAGGGATCGCTGTGTTTCTCTTTCTGTTGGAACATAAGAGAATGCGTCATAGCCAGGTAGATACAAGGTGTTAACTGAAAAATCGAGGAGACAAAGAGAAACTTTATATTCTAACAAAAGATGATTTGCAAATCTGAGTAATGTGACCTTGGGGAAGTGAAAGAAACACACATCACTGAAGAGAGGGGAAACTCTTTTTTTTTTTTTTTTTTTGCCTTGCAGGAGGCTTTTTGCCTTGCAGAATTTGCTTTGCATACCTGTTCAGTGAGAGATGGGGGAGTCTTATGAATATCTTTATGAGAATCAGCAAATGTGTGCCTAGCAAGCAAACATATATGTAACATATCCATGTTCATTTTGGAGTGGAGTTTTAACATTAAAATGAGGTGGAATTTGACTCTATGCTAGGAGGTCTTTTACAGGATATAAGAAAAGTCTGCACAGACTCCAGCAACTGACCAAAACAGCCTCACTGATGTTTCTCAGGAGAAAGATATTGAGATCAGTCTCCTGTCCAATCATAGCTGCAGTTAGGAATGCTGTTGGGGGTGAGGGGCATCAGTTAGTCAGCGTCTGGTGGTCGGGGAGCTGCAATTGTTTCAATACTGCTTGTCCCAAGGTCAGTGATTGTTTAGCCGCTACAGAAAAAGAAAAAAACAGAACCAAAAAAGTCGTGGCAGTTAGAACATAGTTTATTCTTTAAATGTAGGGTGTGTACGACTTAACCGTTGCCTGTGTTTCCTTAGGCCTAGTTTATAATTTGGTATCTTATTGCCACAAAGAGTCTGTTCCATCAGTCTGTGATCTCTATTTTAACAAAGGTTAGAGTACTGACTGCAATTTTCCTTCACATGTGAGATTGGCGCTCTAGGAAAGTTAGTGTGATGATGGTCTACAGAATGGAGAAGGGCATATTTTAGCACCCAACAGTCTACTAGAATTAGGATGAAGTCAAATGCTGTGTATCTAACATTCTAACGTGACTTTCTATTTATTCTAATCCCTATGTCTGCTGTTTCCCTACTCAGGATTATTCTTTTTCAAATTAAAAAAAAATGTTTCTGTAGAGACAGGGTCTCCCTATGTAGCCCAGGCTGGTCTCAGACTCCTGGGCTCAAGCGATCCTCCCACCTCAGCCTCCCAAAGTGTTGAGATTAGAGGCATGAGCCACTGTGCCTGGCTGGCAAATTTTTTGTTTTTTGTTTTTAGATGGAGTCTCGCTCTGTTGGCAGGCTGGAGTGCAGAGGCACAATCTCGGCTCACTGCAACCTCCTCCCAGGTTCAAGCGATTCTTCTGCCTCAACCTCCTGAGTTGCTGGGACTACAGGCGTGTGCCATCACGCCCAGCCAATTTTTTGTATTTTTAGTAAAGACGGGGTTTCACCATCTTGACCAGGATGGTCTCGATCTCTTGACCTCATGATCCACCTGCCTTGGCCTCCCAAAGTGCTGGGATTACAGGCATAAGCCACCGTGCCTGGCTGGCAAATTTTATCTTATGTGTATTTAACTGCAATTCTTAAAAGTTTTTTTAACAGATAGGGAACGTTTATACTTGGAATTCCTTCCATGTTGGTATCATAGGGTTTCCAGTAAAAAGCCAGCCAACCCCGAGGCATCTTTGAAGCAGTTTTATTCCATGTGATGATCATGGAAGGATTTATTGTTCTGTCTCTTAGAAATTGAGAAAGCTGATGATCATCCGCAGCAGCACTTGCAAAACCAAAGAATACTGAAGAGGATGGGACAACACTGTGAACATGGAAGAACTTTGAAATCATATTTAGGTTTAACCAACCAGAGCAGAAGATACAACAGAAAGGAGCCTGCTGAGTTTAATGGAGATGGAGCTTTTCTCCTTGATAATCATGAACAAATGCCTATGGAAATTGAATTCCACGAAAGTAGAAAACCCATCAGCACTAAGTCACGATTCCTTAAACATCAGCAAACACGCAATATAGAGAAAGCCCATGAATGCACTGACTGTGGGAAAGCTTTCCTCAAGAAGTCTCAGCTCACTGAGCATAAGAGAATTCATACAGGAAAGAAACCCCATGGGTGTAGCTTGTGTGGGAAAACCTTCTACAAGAAGTACAGGCTCACTGAACACGAGAGAGCTCACAAAGGAGAGAAACCGCATGGGTGTAGTGAATGTGGGAAAGCCTTCCCCAGGAAATCTCAGCTTACTGAACATCAAAGGATTCACACGGGAAATAAGCCGCATCAATGCAGCGAATGTGGGAAAGCTTTCTCCAGAAAATCACTACTCATTGTACATCAGCGAACTCATACAGGAGAGAAGCCTTATACATGCGGTGAATGTGGAAAAGGCTTCATTCAGAAGGGCAATCTCATTATACATCAACGAACTCACACTGGAGAGAAACCTTATGGTTGCATTGACTGTGGTAAGGCCTTCAGCCAGAAGTCTTGCCTTGTAGCACATCAGAGATATCATACAGGAAAGACTCCCTTTGTATGTCCTGAATGTGGACAACCCTGTTCACAGAAGTCAGGACTCATTAGACATCAGAGAATTCACTCAGGAGAGAAACCCTATAAATGCAGTGACTGTGGGAAAGCCTTCATTACAAAGACAATGCTCATTGTACATCACAGAACTCACACGGGAGAGAGACCCTATGGCTGTGATGAGTGTGAGAAAGCCTACTTCTATATGTCTTGCCTTGTTAAACATAAGAGAATACACACAAGGGAGAAACGGGGGGATTCAGTGAAGGTGGACAGTCCTTCCACAGCAAGTCATAGCTTAAGTCCTAGTGAACACATGCAGGGGAAATGCCCTGTTAATATGGTGACTCTGCAGATACCTTCTGTGAACCCGCAGATGCCATTTAACACCAGCGGGCTCCTAGCAGATAGGAACGTAGTCCTTGTGGGACAGCCACTTGCCAGATGTGCACCCTCGGGAGATAATAGAAGCTTTGCACAGGACAGAAGCCTTACAAATGCAGTGAACATGGTCGTGCCTTCAGTCATCAATTACATCTTCTTTTATGTTATAAACACGTAATTGAAAACTGTATATTAAATGCGGAAAAGCCTTGACCAAAAGTATCTAGTTGATTACCTGGTTAAGTCCTCCATAAGATTTCAAGCTTATGTTTCAATACAAAGCTTGAAATCCTGTGAATGCAGAAAGTAGGAAAGCCTCTTTTGGAAGAGGGACCCTATCATTGGTGATCACCATGGCAACAGTGAGCTCATAGTGGGTAGAAATACAGTGATGGTGGGAGAGCCTTTGTCCTTAAGAGGTGTCAGTACACACTGGAGAAAAACTCCTGGAAGGTAGTTAATGCGACAGCATTTTCAGTGGTACATTCTGCCACATCCTTTAGCAGGTGAAATATAGAAATAAAACACTGTGAACCCACTACTGTGAAGTGCCTTTATCAAAATATTAAAGTACTCTTGAAACAAAGAAGCCCTGCGGAAATGAGGATTGTTTGAGAGCTTTCTGTTCCATTCCTGACTTCATCATATGTCAGATAGTATAACTGATGTCTATTTTTAGACAGAATATCTTGAACTATTACTATTTACTGCATTAATTATTCCAAAAGTTAAAGGAGATAGTGTCTGCCCCACATCACTGGTTAAGGTTATCACATTGAGGGAGGAAAAAAGGAAAAATTAATTGGGCAGACAGCTAAAGCTGGCCTTTGGCAAAATTCTTTTAAACAGAAAGCCTGAAAAATCAAGCACAGGCACGAAAAGAGCAGAGTAGGGGAAAACTCAGGCAGCAGCTACTCTGATAAGAAAGTAAGGCCCAGCATAGAAGCCTTTTGTTCTTTGTGTGATTAGTGGGCTCCCAGGAAGAAGTTTCCTCCCCTTTTCAGGCATGTACATGGTGAACTCCATGGGAGCTTGCAGGGGGAGTGAGGAGTCTTACTTAAAACAGACCCACAGTTACACAAACAGGAGAAGCTATGCTTTGTGCTTGCCTAAAGACAGCTACACAGATAAGGGGAGTTGCACAGACAGCTTCACAGATAAGTTACACAAATAGCTACAGAGATGAGTTTCATAGAAAAGCTTTTGAATTCAGTGTAAAAATGGCAACCCATTCAGGCTCCCTTTCTGCTGTGGAGAGCTTTCTTTTTTCACTTGTTAAACTTTCACTCCAACCTCTCCCTTTGCGTCCATACTCCTTAATTTTCTTGGTTGTGAGACAAAGAACTCTGGGTGATACCTCACAACCAGGGACTGCTACATTGTGATGCATTGGTGAGACTGTAACAACATTATATTCACTTCTCCCATTTGTGGGTTCCTTTTTTAAATTGTCTATCTTCAGTGCCCAACCAAGATCATGTGACGATTAGCTGTTAAATTTCTGACCCTAAAGTTAATTCAATATTATTTCAGAAAATGAGTCCTTCAAAAAGAAAGGGTAAGGGACAGGACCAAGGAATACCACAGTGCTAGGTTCCCTCTAGTGGGGCCAGAGACAGCTGATCTTTCCAGTTAGGTGTGCAACATATCAGACATCAAGTTTATATAGGATGTGACCTCCCTTCCTGGACTAGGCAACTGAAGCTGAAAGGTTTGAGTCAATCAACAGGGACTGGTATAAACAGACTGGGTTCCTACCCCAACTCAGCTCAACCCCCTATCCAATAGGTAGGGAACATCTGAGGCCCCAGGAGAGTTAGGGGGAGGGCACTGATCTGTCAATATGCTTTTTTCACAATGACAAGGCAGCAGAGACCTGGAAACATAAAGCTTTCCTTATGCTCTCCCAAGCTCTGGCCACCAAGAGTAACCTGATGAAGCCCTGCTGGATCTGCCATCCTGGCCCACCTGTCACCACCTAGAGTGACCCTCTCATCCTACCAGTGATAAACTACATCAGTATACCTAACATGACAGCATATACCAGCAGAACTCGAGTGGCTTACTGGCTTACCGAACATGGAAAGGAAGCAGAGGTGCCCTGTTTTAACGTAATCAACTATGACAAAATGCCACAGCCACAACTAACAAAACCTTGGTGGGCTGGCACTTTGATGCACCACACTTTTGATTACATGAAGAGTGTCCCACTGGTGATGATGAAAAGAAAGACTGGAGTGTTGTTAGCCATTTGTGCAGGGGCTTCATGAACAACATTGTGTGGGAGAAACTAAGTTCCTGTAACAGGTTTGAGACTTGGATGGCAAACACCAATGCCTCCACACCCACGAATGGGCCACTGAACAAGAAAATGGAGAAGGGGTGTTGTGTGCACCTGAGAGCTACACCTACATTTTTCTCTGTGGGTGGTCTGGGGTTTATATAAATACAGGACAGGCAATGTCATGCCTGATCCAAATTGTTGTTTTCAGAATCCTGGGAATATGAACTTGTAAACTCCTAGATAACTGACCAGCTGCAACCTTCCTTGTGGAATGGAACAGACCCAGCATTCTTCCTGGCATCTACCCTCATTTCCTTTCACTGCAGAAGTACTCTCAGGTAAGTATCCTTGTGTCTTACGAAAAGAGATCTTTAAAGGAGAATCAACTGTGTCCTGGTATCTCATGTTCCACAGAGAGCTGAAGAGGCTGAACAGGATTGGGGGAAGACAAAGAGGTTCTGGAAGAGCTGAATCTAGTTGTAAACTGGAATACTGCAGGCCTTTGTCCAATCTGGATGATATTTTCAGAAGCTGATAGATATAATAATTGAACTGTGGTCAGTGGTAATGTCAATAGGTGCTGGCACAAAACTGATGCTAGCTTAAGGCTGAGGTCAAGTCTATTACTGGAAAAGTGATATTTGAAGAAGGGCTTGAGGTCTTATCACTTAGGCCTGTCAGTAGGTAAACTGTCTTAATTAGGGCAAGTTTAAAAAAAAATCAGTGTATTGTGGGGAAAAGAAAGAGAGATCAGACTGTTACTATGCCTATGTAGAAAGAAATAGACATAAAGAACTCCATTTTGTTCTGTACTAAGAGAAATTCTTCTACCTTGAGATGCTGTCAATCTATAACACTAGCCCCAGCCCTGTGCTCGCAGAGACATGTGCTGTGTTGACTCAAGGTTTAATGGATTTAGGGCTGTGCAGGATGTGCTTTGTTAAAAAGGTGCTTGAAGGCAGTATGCTTGGTAAAAGTCGTCGCTATTCTCTAATCTCAAGTACCTAGGGACACGATACACTGTGGAAGGCCGCAGGGACCTCTGCCTAGGAAAGCCAGGTATTGTCCAAGGTTTCTCTCCATGTGATTGCCTGAGATATGGCCTCGTGGGAAGGGAAAGACCTGACCATCCCCCAGCCCGACACCCGTAAAGGGTCTGTGCTGAGGAGGATTAGTGAAAGGGGAAGGCCTCTTTGCAGTTGAGATAAGAGGAAGGCATCTGTCTCCTGCTCCTCCCTGGGAAGGGAATGTCTCGGTGTAAAACCCGATCATACGTTCTATTTACTGAGATAGGAGAAAACCGCCTTATGGCTGGAGGTGAGACATGCTGGCGACAATACTGCTCTTTAATGCACGGAGATGTTTGTGTAAAGTCAAACATAAATCTGGCCTACATGCACTCGAGGCACAGCACCTTTCCTTAAATTTATTGATGACACAGAGATCTTTACTCACATGTTTTCCTGCTGACCCTCTCCCCACCATTACCCTACAGACCTGCCACATCCCCCTTTCCGAGATGGTAGAGATAGTGATTAATAAATACTGAGGGAACTCAGAGACCAGTGCCGGCGCAGGTCCCCTGGGACAACTTTTCTTTCTCTGTACTTTGTCTCTGTGTCTTATTCCTTTTCTCAGTCTCTCGTCCCACCTGATGAGAAACGCCCACAGGTGTGGAGGGGCAGGCCACCCCTTCAACCTCCAGTCTTAAGGTGGTTTTCTCGTATCTCAGTAAATAGAAAATACAATCGGGTTTTACACCGAGACATTCTGTTGCTCTTTAATGCACCGAGATGTTTATGTATGTGCACATCAAATCACAGCACCTTTTCTTAACCTTGTTTATGACACAGAGACATTTGTTCACATGTTTTCCTGCTGACCCTCTCCCCACCATTACCCTATTGTCCTGTCACATCCCCCTCTCTGAGATGGTAGAGATAATGATCAATAAATACAGAGGGAACTCAGAGACTGGTGCAGGTGTGGGTCCTCATCCGTATGCTGAGCACCGGTCCCCTGGGCCCACTTTTCTTTCCCTATACTTTGTCTCTGTCTCTCATTTCTTTTCTCAGTCTCTGGTCCCACCTGACGAGAAACACCCACGGGTTGTTGAGGAGCTGGCCCCCTTCACTTCCCCACTTTGGTCGGCCGCTGATCAACCCTGTTCTCCATTCTCCACCCCAATTATAACCTAAGCTTTGCCTTCGTTTCACCCATTCTTTGACTGACTCCTTTCTCTGAGGCTACATCTGATGTAGATGTAAAGATACTTCTCAGGCAGTTCTCAAAGGCAGCTTTCTCCATAAGGTCCCTCCAGCCAGAAGCATCCTCAGGATAATAGCCCCTCCATTGTTGCTCAGGTCCCTCCCTCTTGAAATTCCTCTCAGATTGCCGCGCCCACATGGTTTCTTTCCATTCTTCCTACGATTAAAGTGCCTAAATGTCTGTGACCATCTCTACCCAGCCTGCAGACAGATCAGGGCAGGCTTAAGCCTTTGAGAAACTAAGCAGTTTATGTAGCGCTCCTGGCGAATGTTGCAAAGCCAAAGTCCAGCAGTTCACGTGGAATGGAAAAAGGGTGGAATGGGTCGTTTTCAATCGCTTTTCATCGTCAGAGCCTACCGGTCTTAGCCTACCGGTCTTAAGGCGCGGAAAGGGGAACTCCGCCTGCTGTACGGCAGTAGGGTTGAAAATGGCTGCTCCCAGCAAGCATCCCTTGGGCGCAGACATATTGCATCATGAAGGGACGGCATTCGCCGGATTCCGCGTCTCTGAAAAGAAGCTGTGTGGCCCTCGCCGGCCGCCATCCCCGAAACTTGCGAGTGTCGCGTCTGCAGCTTGCGGGGTTCGCGGGTCGGCGGGCAGAGGCGAGTGTTTAGGGATTTAGGGTC